GGAAGGCTGAGGCGGAAGGATTGCCGGAGCCCAGCAGGTCGAGGCTGCGGTGGCCGGGAGAGGCCACTGCACTCCAGTCTGGGTGACAGAGTGAGACTCCAACTCAAAAAAAAAATAAAAAAAGAATTATTTTTTATTGAAACATAAATACCTATTCTTTTTAATTAATCACATTCTCTGATTAAAGTCGTTAAGGTCAGTCACTTAAATATTAACTCCATATCCTTTTACCTACTTCTGAAAATAATTTGACAGCTCACACTGTAAATGCCACTGATGTTGATTAAGGATGCATTAGGTTGGGTCCTGGTATTGCTGCCTTGGCTGCCTTTGCAACCCACATCCACTTGTTGACCGGTTTCTTTTTTCTGCCTCTCTCCAAATTCCAAATGTAGGTGGCTGTGTTTCGCTGGCCATCTTAGATCATGCCCCTTCACTCTAGATGCAAAAAGAATGGGAAATTACATTTCTTTAATAGTTCTTTTGTCTTTCAGAGCAGTAAGTCACCTCTGGCAGCCACCAAGACTTGCCACTTGGGTAGCAAAAAAAGGTCAGATGTTTCCATCTTATTACAGGCAAATCTACTTTGTTACCTCCTCAATATAACTTCCTCAAGTTTCTTTTCTAGCTGTCATTTTCTTTTCTTGGTCGATTCTCTAGTGAAAATGTCAATCCTAACTATGACTTTGTAATCATTTCTATGTGGCTAGAGTAGACTCATATTACTGATTAGATCTCACCTAATTGTTTAGATGATGCTCACTCCATAAACCTGTCAGCACGCCTGAGTTCTCCTTTTCAATTTTTAATACCCATCTACACAATCACCTGATGGCTCCTCTCTCCTTCACGACAACTTATCTCACATTAAATGTCTAACAGAATTCTAGCCACTCTACATTCTGAATGCTTTAGAATCTATCTCTTGGTCTCACCATCTCTTCCTGTGTCATAGCACATGTGGATTGGGTGTTTAACATGCATTTCAGTCATGTAGAGGGCTATTTTCAAAATTAAGGACACCCTTCCCAAGCTACTGAATTCATTTCTACATTAAAACTTCACAATCTATATTTTTCACACATACAAAAAAAACTCTTCCAGATAATTCTTATGTAGAATCTGACATGGGATCTCCTGGACCTTAATAACAGTTCCAAATTTAGTTTCCATGACACCAGTTTTCCCCTCCTGCATTCTATTTTTTGCAAAATTAAATTTAAAAATATATTATAACTTTCCTCATCTTGAAATTATTAGTGCATGCATAGTGCATAAAGAATAAAGTTTAAGATCCTTGACATTGCATTCAATTCATTTATTTTTAATTCAGGGCCTTCAGAAACTTTTCCTTTGACAATGCATTCATAACCCAGACACAGAATTTTCTACTGCACTTAATAATGGCCTCATAAATTTAGCAAATGCATAGAATGCTTCTCCTGTTGTATAAATCTGTTAATTTTTGTATTATTTTTAAACAGATATTATTTATTTATTTATTCCTCATATCTAGTATTTATCAATCATAGTACTGATAAAGAAAATAAATTAGAACCAATAATTGTAGTTTATTTCAACACCTCTTTTTCACTTTCAACTCATAAGCCTGTTGCAAATCTTATTTTACATTTATTGTTTTTTATTTCAGAGAATCTGTAGTAAGGACATGGAAGAGAAAAATACAACTCTGCTGAAAGAATTTGCTCTCACAGGCCTTCCATATAATTCAGAGTGGAAAATCTCCCTGTTCCTTGCATTCTTGGTAATATATCTCATCACCATTGTGGGAAACGTTGGTCTTATTGCTCTCATCTGGAATGATTCTCACCTTCACATCCCCATGTACTTATTCCTTGGGAGTTTAGCTTTTGTGGATGCTTCGTTATCATCGACAGTGACCCCAAAGATGCTGGTCAATTTCTTCACCAAGAATAATATATCTTTCTCCGAATGTGTGATACAATTTTTTTCCTTAGCAATCAGTGTAACCACAGAATGTTTTCTCTTGGCATCAATGGCATATGATCGCTATGTTGCCATATGCAAACCCTTACTTTATCCAGTGATTATGACAAATGCATTATGCATACAGCTATTAACCTTGTCATTTGTAGGTGGTCTCTTTCATGCTTTCGTTCATGAAGGTTTTTTATTCAGGTTAACCTTCTGCAATTCTAACATAATACATCACTTTTACTGTGACATTATTCCATTGTTAAAAATTTCCTGTACTGATACGTCTATTAATTTTCTAATGATTTTTATTTTCTCGGGTTCTATTCAGGTATTCACCATTATGACTGTTCTTGTCTCTTATACCTTTGTTCTCTTCACAATCTTCAAAAAGAAGTCTGTCAAAGGCATAAGGAAAGCCTTCTCCACCTGTGGTGCCCATCTCTTGTCTGTCTCTTTATACTTTGGCCCCCTTCTCTTCATGTATGTGCGCCCTCGATCACCCCAAGCAGATGATCAAGACATGATGGACTCTCTCTTTTACACAGTCATAATTCCTCTGTTAAATCCTATTATCTACAGCCTGAGAAATAAGCAAGTAATAGATTCACTTACAAAAGTGTTAAAAAGAAATGTGTAACTTGGCGAGACCTCATCTCCACAATAAATAAAAAATTAGCCAGGCATGGTAGCGTGTGCCTTTAGTTCCAGCTACTTGGAAGGCTGAGGTGGAAGGATCACCAGAACCCAGGGGGTCGAGGCTGCGGTGGCCGGGAGCGACTACTGCACTCCAGTCTGGGTGACAGAGTGAGACTCCAACTCAACAACAACAACAACAACAAAGAAATGTGTAGATCTCACACTAATCTCTCGTCTCTATTTAGTAAATATAGTCACAAATTGTGAAAATTAAAGATATCTATGTTTTTATGAGTGTTGCAAGTATTTTACAGTTATAACTATTCTAAGATCTTAATGACAAGGCATTAGCATTTAAAAATATTCTCATTAAAATATTCATATATGTTATTCAAAAGCATTCAAGACATTTTAATTGTGTTCATATTATACTACAATAATTATAGCTGAAAACATAAAATATTTTATAATATTGTATCTTAATATGACTTTATAAACGCATTGAATGCTAAAATACTATAGTTTATTTGATACAGACTTCAAAATAGTGTCTTTGATACTAATACAACTGCATTGCCTGAAACTATTTTCACATTTAACTCTGCAGGGGATGCTGGTTTGTGTTAGCAGCAAATTCCAAGAATTCTGATAGCCATCAAAAGGTCTTTGATTCCATTTTATTGGGAAAGGGTGAATTTCACTTCTTGTAGAGACTCAATTCACATATAAAGCAGAGAAATAAACAAAAATGGGAATGCAGTGAGGAAAAAAAAAAAGAGAAGGGAATTAAGATTTGAGGCAGAGCCAGCATGTAGAGGAGGCTCTTAAATCAGTGAACTTGTATGAGTAAGAAGAGGCAAATTGCTTCAAACTGTAAGTGATGGCTTCTAAGGCCCTCCTAGCTATTCTTGTATGTTTTTTTGACAATATAGAAAGTGTAACTAATTCAGAATATTGACAGATTAAATAGAATAAATTGAGATAGGCATATATAAGAAAAGATAATTTGCGCTATAGGAATAAAATTGTCTTAGTAGTCTTAGAATTTAAAAAATGAAGCTACTAAGATAAAGAAATTAGTAGAATTGTAAAGTTATTGGAATGCACTGTTTGGTCAATCAGGGATTTTAAATGCATATCATCAAAGATCAAATAATGTTAATAAGATATGACATCTTATACCCAATGAGTTGAGAGAAAAACATGAAAATGAGGGAGAGTTTGGATATTTTCTCCCTCAAAAGTCCTTGTTAGTGTTCTTCACACTTCATACTCTTTAAGCAAATGGGTCAACCACCCATCCCTCCAACTGCCCTTCACCTTTCGACACTAAAATTCCTTTCTCGATCTCACTGATACCACCGGAAGCCCTTACCCTAAATCTACTCATCTGTAGTTTTGCAAACCTGTAATTATTTATCTCTTCTGTCCTTCTAGAACTCACTCACTTCCCCAATATTGCTGTTGAGTCTTTTTTGCAAACAAAACTCCAATTAATTATATACCTCTTTAATGTCTTTTATTCGATTTTCATAGCTACCGGATTATATGCATATGTTATAGACCTCTAGATCTGCATATATGCATATTCATATGTTTATTTTTCATGTGTATATATCTGCTATATACATATGCATTTTTATGCATATGTATACTCATACTATATGTACACATATAAATAACTAAAATATGAATGTAGTAGCATTACAAATTTGGAGTTTTAGCTGGGCTCGGTGGCTCAGCCTGTAATCCCGCGCCTTTGGGAGGCTGAGGTGAGCGGATTGCCTGAGCCCGCGGGTTCAAGACCCTCCTGGGCAGCAAGACCTCATCTCTACAATAAATCAAAAAATCAGCCGGGCGTGGTAGCGCATGCCTGTAATTCCGGCTACTTGAAAGGCTGAGACAGAAGGATCACCGGAGCCCAGCAGGTCGAGGTTGCGGTGGCCGGGAGTGGCCACTGCACTCCAGTCTGGGTGACAGAGTGAGACTCCAACTCAAAAAAAATAAAAAATAAAAAAAAATTTGGAGTTTGCCAGGACAGTGGTCCACACTTGTGATCTTAGCATTTTGGGAGGCTGAAGCGAGAGGATCACTTGAGCTGAGGGGTTCAAAACTAGCCTCAGCAACATAGCAGACCTTGTCTCTACAAAAAAAAAAAAAATTAACCTGGCATGGTGGTGTGTTCCTGGAGTCCTAACTACTTGGGAGGCTGAGGTGGAAGGATCACCTGAGCCCAAGATGTTGAGGCTGTGGTAAGCCATGATCATGCCACTGCATTCTAGCCTGGGAGTCAGAGTGAGAACTAGGGTCACACAAGCAAGCAAACAAACAAAAAATGTTAGGAGACAGTGATTTCTTGAGCAGCACGAGACTACATGTGGTTTAGAGTTTTCTTGACAGAACAAGAGAGAAAGGCTTGTATAGGGTGATTGTAGAATAAAGCTAAGGAAACACTTTATAAGTTAAAGTGGAATCGTGGCATTATTTGGATTTTCTGTGGAAATTCCTTAGTTATTGGTGGTTTCTGGTTGACTTAACTTTTGTTTTGCCATTTACATTGAGTTGGGTCTGTTTACTAAGGTAGAAACCCGTGTTGCTGGAGCCACCTCAGATTAATACACTTTCATTTAATTATTTTAAATATTTGCTCCCTTTTATCAGTGTTTCAAGTATGGGATATTGACACAAATTCAGGCTCATATGCTACTGTCCTTCACCATCACAGCTAGTTTGTCTTTGTCTCAGCATAGAACTCATAAGTCACAATGTCTGAAGAAGTGTTTCTTTTGTTGTTTATCTTGTCTCGGTCATTCTAATCACATGGAAAAATCTGGCATACTGTGATGTCAGTGAACTTGCATTTAAAAATCTTTAGAGCATTAGCACACCAGGAAGATTACAATAATGACTATCAAGAGGATAATACCCAGAGACTGGGGTATGTTCCTTAGCTAAGGTGCCCAAGAACCAAACTGATTAAAACAACAAAATAAAAACAAAGTTTAATAGTTATAACAACATTTAAACTCAGTTCAGAGGACTATTAGTTGAGGCAGTTTCTAGATTTAAGTTCAAAACCTCTCTAGTTCACAAAATGAAATGGCAGTTGCAATCTGATTTTTCTGGCTTTTGGACTGAATGTCTCTGTTTATGTCATTGAGTATTTTGATGAACTTCCTGAGTTACCTGCTTAACAGGGTGCATGAAATATGTCCTCTGAAGTTTATATCAAGCTTGTAGGCCTTCAGAAATAAGGCAGTTTATAGGTAGATAAGAAAGCCTCAGAGACAATGACCAGAATAAGAATCTCACAATAGGCACTTATAGTTTTCTACCGAAACATACATTTTTCTTTCACCAGTCACACCCATTTCTAGATATAGTCACAGTAAGGCGAATATTTTACAAACTAGGTCTACTTATTAAACTTCACCTAATTATTAATATAAGTGCAGTAAGAATAATCATTGATGATCTATTTTTAAGTCTACTTTGCTGGAACCTTAAGTAAGAAATCGGAATTAGATTTCTAAAAGCCTCACTGAGCTAAGAAGTCATTGAACTTGCTTTCAGTCTTCACCTGCAATGCCTACAGATTTAGGTAAATTCTCCTTTAATTAAGGACCTCAAAACATTTTTAAATTTTCTATATCTTCCAGAGAGTGATCCTTCTCTTAATTTGTAATACTCGAAGCGCTATGAGCAGATCAAGGCCAGTTTTTCCCAAGGGGCTTGATATAAATTCGTTTCCTTATTTTCTCCTAATATGACGTTGAAATTTGACATCCAATGTTAGGGGTGGGACTGTACAAGAGGTGTTTGGATCATGGGGCTGCATCACTCATGAATGGCTTGGTGTCATCCTTTCAGTAATGAATGAGTTCTCACATTATTAGTGCCCACAAGGGTTGTTTTTTTTTAAAATAAAAGACTAGCCCCCACACCGCCATTGCTTACTCTCTCATCATGTGTTCTCTGTACATACTAGCTTTGCTTTGCTTCCAGCCATGAGTGGAAGCAGGCTGAAGACCTCACTAGAAACATGTGCTGACTTCATGCTTTTTGTACTGGCTGCAGAGCCATGAGCCAAATAACCCTCTTCTCTCTCTCTCTCTTTAAAAACAAATTACACAGTCTCAGATATTTCTTCGTAGCAACACTAAATGGACTAAAACAGAAAATTGGTATTAAGGAATGGGCATTGCTATAGACATGAAAATGTGGAACCAGCCTTGAAACTGGGTATTGGGCAGAGGTTGGAAGAGTTTGGAGGGCTTAGAAGAAGACAAAAATATGAGGGAAAGTTTGGAAATTCTTAGAGATTGACTAAATGGTTGTGGTCAAATGCTGAAAGAAATATAGACAGTAATCGGGCAAAATGAGGACCAAAGGGAGGCTCAAACATTACTTGTATGATGTCCACTTGGATACCTAATCCTGAATTGTACCCCACATCTTTAAAATAAAATATTAAAAATAAATAAATAAATACAAGAAATAATAATAATAATAAAATATAGAAAATAAAGGCCAGAATTGGGAGGTCTCCAGTAGAAATGAGGAACTTATTGGGAACTTGTGTGAAGGTCACCCTCAGTGCTGTGGCAGAAGTATTGTTGGGAGCCGGCCACGGAGGCCCACTGAGCATTAGGGATCAGGAAGGGCTGTTGACCCCAAGACCACTAGGATGCGTTTGGGAGATGTTGACCCCATGTCCTCCCCCTTTCTACTCAGCACTAACCAGATCAAGCTCCTGTGAGCTCAAAACATAAAAACTCTGAGACTGGGACGGACACCAGCTAACTTTAGAAGCTCATTGCTCCCATTCTTCTGCAAACTGCAGGTTTGGCTTTCACACAACTTATAATTCAAACTCGTGTCACATCTAAGAGCCTTAGTATTGGTCACAGGCTTCTGGGTCATGATCTTAGGATTTATTGAAGGTGTAAATTGTAGAATATAGTTTTAGAAGACAACCATTTTGTTTATATTTTTCTCTGG